ATTGATTTTCTCGAAAACTATAATATATAGAATGAATCCAAGCCGTTTTGCTGTAATTCGTGTTCAAATTAATTAAACAAATCAAAAGTTAATGAATAAATAAACTAATATATTTGACTTTGTTTCAGCAGAATGAAAAACTCCAGTCACAGTGGTAAGTACACAATTAATTAAACAGTTTTTATAAATTCAATCTGATTTTATCATCGAAATCAATTAAAAATTGTGAACATGTTTCGTAATTATAATTTAAATGGATCATATTATTCGCGGAATTGGTAAACCGTGTGCGACATTCAGGAAGAGTTTCTCGGATTTCAAAGGAAAACCAGTACTTTTAACCGTAACCGCACTTCATTCCCAATCGCTAATTAAAAAAAAATAATCGAACTGAATATCCGGTTCGGAGATTCATCTTGTATCATTTGCATGGTGCACGTGTGCATTCTCGTACAATACTCGTGGAAAGTCGACGCGAACCCGGCAATTGGGACGTTTTTCGAAGCAGATGAGCGACTTGATTGAGTGCAAATAAGTATAGATCAAACAAAAACAGGAGAAAAAGAAAAAACGAGATCGAAGCAGATCGTTTGATCGTTGAGAAGGAAGGCAAAATGAAATAAATAACGCAACCGGTTGTTGTGTGTCTCGTTCTTATATGTGTTGCGTGCGTTTTTTTTTGTATGTCGTTTCTGGTCAGCAGGACGTTTCAATCGAGTAAAACGCGAATGACCACAGAGAGCTGCCAAGAAATGAATGTTCATTTACAAAAGGGCACCATTCGCGCTCGCACCAATTTGGTATCGATGGCGTGCCATTAACGCGAAATCACTTTGCTGGTAGCACTCGAAACCGTTCAATTTGCTTGCAAAACCTTAATCCTCCAGAAACAAAAAAGGAAGAAGCGGAAAAAGCAAAGTAAACAACAACAAAGACACAGCTCGTCCTAACAACAACTACTATATTATACCCCAAAGACCGATTCACATTCAGCCGACACCAGACGACATCTGCAAACGACGACACCGACACGACAACTTTCGATCCTTAAGGAAGAAACGAAAAAGAATAATCAGCATCATTTAATGACATCTTCTTCTCGTTCTTCTCATTTTCTATACCAGCAGGATCGTTTATTTACTTGTCAACATATGTTTCGCGAAGAAATAAGCTATTATGTTCACATGTTGACTTCTTACTGAATTAGTATCATTATCATTCATTAGCAAAAACTTATTGAACAAATAAGGATTGAAATCAAAAAATTCACTAGCAAATAATTTCTAAAAATTGAGTGTTAGGTATGTACATGTGTATGTAAGTCCTTATGAGTTAGTACAAGGAATATCCCATAACTAGTCATTGTGTAACGACTATTCTTAATCACTATTGTTAATCCACATATTGTGCACAAATTCAAAGGGCTTAATCACTTAATGATTAAGGAAAGTTCAATACTATCTTCCCTTACCAAATATTGTTTATGTAAAGCAAAGATAGTCCTAATGAGTCCAAGTCATGAATAGTCCTAATCTTAGTTAGCTAGTAACACACCTACCAACTGGAATATAGTCATAGAAGTTATTAATATTCCTTAAAAACTCCACTAGGACTCCACAACGACAAAACTATGAGCTATTCGACAGTGTCCATAGATATTTGAATCTCGGGACACGACATTAGATTCTGAAGAATCATTACAATTGCAGCACTACAAAGAAAGTAGTATTATACCAAAGTAACTAAAGCGACTTAAATTCAATTGTGTTACATAAATAAAGTATCTTATTGCAAAGTTATAGGAAATTGTAATCGAATGATGAGAGTTAAGGCACTGACCTTATTTGAGTTTTTGGGAAATCGGGAATGCGAAGGGCAGCAATAAGATTTTCTGAATGGTTGCAAGGGTTGGGTTCTCTTCAAAACATTATTTGGATTGTTCAGCACGGTCAATTTTATACGCGCACACTGACGTTGCGTCAAAGTTAACTGACGTTAAATTGTTTCTGTCTTCGGTTTCTAGATAGTGAAGAGGGCCGAACGGGGAACAACCGTCAGACGTCTTTGAGGAACGGCGGCAGTCGACCACCGATCAGCACACCGGACGACAAGACGATGACGACGATCGGCACGGCGCAAAGCTACCAGGATCCATCAGCGAACATCGCCATGACCAACAGCGGAGTGTGGTCGTGGTTGTCGCGACGTTCGACGCCGCAGACGCAGCTGAACGCGCCCACGACGCCGGCCGAAAATCATTACACCCACATGGAGGAGAACTACAATGGGGTCGGGGAAGCGCTGTACGCGGAGCTGGACAGGGAGTCGACGGCCGACAGTCCGGCTTACCAGAATTCCGCGTACACGGATCCGGACGCTCCGGTTTCCAGCGCACCGAGCAGCGCTTACTACTCGGACCTCTCCGTGACCACGGTTCCTGAGAGAGCGTACGAGGTGGTCGGCCTCTCCACGCTACCCGTCTGGGAGAACAACGGTGATGCGGCCCGTAGGACTGTGCCTCCAAGGCTCGCCTCCATCAGTGAAACCGTCAGTGTTCCCTCGGACTACGTGTAATTGTGTGATTCCCTTCCAGCACTCTGTACAGAATGTATAATTATATAGTTATTATATGAGATAACTTAAAACATAATCTTAACACATTACGGTCCATCATATTTGCATAGTTTAACACCACAACTAATTACTGCAACACTAATACTCCTTTAACTCTTCATGTTTATAATACCCAGTGCATTTCGTAGAAATACACAAGTTACTTCCCACATGTAGTGTATCAAAATAGACTTTTACACGACCGATAATGTGTTAATAAAATGTAAAACATGAGGAAAAAATGTCAATTAGACTAGAAAAAGTTGCATGAATGTGTACATACGTATTATATTGATTTATCTTGCCCCTGTAAATTGTATAGTGATGCAGCAGATTGTATATAATTTATAAAAAATAAAATATTTTCTTTTCGAGCGGGCAAAGATTTGGGGCTTTGTTTTGTTTATTTTTGTATTCTTATAATTTTTTTGTGTGCGCAATTACACCTTAACTGTATATATAATTTTTAAAAAAAGGAACGTTTACGCAATAAATTGCCGTTGCATAATATGCCTTGAACAGCGAAAGAGTAATGCGTTTTCTTTCCAACCTATTGCCGTTCCTCCTTGATATTTACAAGAGGTGGACGAGTACCTCTCTCATAAGGTATTCTCATAAGGTAGGTAATAATTTAAGGAAACGCGAAGCCATAAAAAAAAACGGAATAAATTTCAGTCGAGTCTTCATTTTCAGCTCTGAACTGAACTAGAAGCTCAATACCTTTTGAATTGCTATCAGTCTAATCTAGTTAGTATAGCTTTGGCACATCGATGTTCTCCTGTTAATTGCCGTAACTGACGTTTCCAATTGTTTCTATCAACAAAGCTTACTTAATTCGAACTGTATTTGATTTACTAACTACTATCAGTTTCCCAAATATAAGATGATTTTTCTTTATATAGATAAACATATGTTTTATTATTATTATTATTATTATCAGTCACAAATAAATATCTTCACAAATATTCATTTTGTCATCTCACTTTCCTCTTTCTTTCTTTTTTTGGTATAAACGAATAGTAGCAGTTCGAAGCGCATACAAGCAGCACCAAAACATAATCATCTATATCCTCCTTCTTCCTCCTCCTCGACGGCAAAGACAGCTTCAACACCTAAACAACTCTCGCAGAGGCCAGAAACGGAAGTGTGTGAATGAGTAGAAATGAAAGAAAACAAAGGTCTTGAAATTCAATTAAATAAATTAATTTTGAAAACGAAAATGAGACACATATATAAATTAGTTTCAAACAAAACTCGAGTTTCTAAATAAATCTTCTTCTTTTTCCAATCAATTTATAAATATACGTATATATATATAGAATATAAATAAACAAAAACAAAAAGTGAACCCAGATGAGAGAAAAGAAACAACGCTTATTTTAAAATAATAAATAATTGTTTGCTTTTTACCTCTTCTCGTTCATTTTTCCTTCTTTTTTTTTAACAACTCGCGGAATCCTGTTGTTCTGCTGATATGCGAATTCCGAATCCAATAAAGCGAAAATGGATAGTTGAATATAATAACAAATACAAAAGAAAAACGGGGAAAACAGTGTGTGTGTGTGTTTATATGCATGTAGGACAGAAGAGAAGCCTTAGCACACAAGTGATCGGTAAACAAACAATAACAGCCCCTTCTCTCGCGTAATCCGACTAAAAATTATATAATAAACACAACAAATTATGTGAGTTAAATGTTTTTTTTTTGTCGTAAACATTGAATTGTTTAACACCGACGATGATACAATTAATTATTTGTTTTTTTTTTACGAATGGTTGTATACAAGTATATATATATATGTGGATTCAATCAATGTGAATGCGGCGGCGGCGCTCGGATGCGGAGAAAATCTTCTGCGCTTCTCACGATCGCGCTTCGTATAAACATCGAATGACTTTGTTTTACTTATAAATTAGTGTTGTCCACGAGGCAGGTCAGTCTAAGAAGGGTTCGTCTTCTTTTTTAGGCGAGGTATCTACATAGATTTTGAGGCCGCGCTCCCTCCTCGGCGAATACGACTTCGTACTGAACTTGCCCAGCCGCTTGTTCTCACTTTGGTACAGCTCCTTCCTCTCGTCCATGCTAATTTCCTTTAAAACTTCCCTGCTATCCCTACAAAAAAAAAACAAACATCGTCATATGTGATGGATGTGGTTACGCGAACGAACGAACGTCGTTATTATTTACCTGTAATAGAATAGGCTTCCATCCTCGTACACTTCGATCGAAAAATTATCGATCAAATGCTTATCGGGTGTCCAGTCGACTTTGGTTTGCACCCCGAGAACATTCATGTCGCAGGGAAATGAGCTCTTCATCATAGCCACCTCGAGGAATTCCATGGGAATGCCAGACTTGTGCGACACCGCTTTCTTGAAGTTGGTCATGGTGGCTTCCTGCAGGAGCACCTCCTGGATTGGCCCCAGAACCAACTTCGAAGGTTGCCAGTGGCGCACGAACAGCAGCAGTTGAGAGGCGTCCGTTTTCTCCGAATCATCGCTGACCTCCTGGATGAACATTTCGAAATTATTATTAACGGTGATGTTCTGCGTGAACTTATTCTCGTCCAAATACACGGTGGATGGATTCTTGATGCTCTTCTTCCTCAGTCGACATTTGTTCGGAGGAATATCGGTCATGAACAGCTTCTTGGCCTGCAAGAGAATCTCGCGTTTCACTGCGCCGACCAACTGATCCTCGGCGATGATCCACTCGAACCAAAGGGTTATCGGTTCGGCGGCGTTCGGTTCCAGCAAGAAAATCTTGCCGGACACCTCGTTGCTCTTCAGGACGCGGCCAAGCTTGATGGTCAATTGCTCCGAATTCTTGATGAAAATAAAGTCCAACGTCTCGGTTAGCGATAACCACTCCGCCGTGTGATTCGGAAACACCTGATATAACTTAAAGTATTCCACGGAGACACCCACAAGTGGTTCCATGCATTTCTTGAAATTTCCCAGCTGCATCCTCTTGTCGACCATCACACGACAACTCCTCTGTTCTCCCTGATTCCTTTCAAGATTCACAGCTCTGAAGTAGTAATTAGGAGTGGCCTCGTCGCAAACTAAGAAGTATGGATTATCCCCGTCCGTAGATTTCGTAGATTCCTCTGCCGTCTCCAGTCCTGCAGACGCGCTCTGATCATCCCAATTAAGCACCTTATGTATGTTCGGGTAAACGTCCGATAACGCGTCATCAGGTGAATTCCAACTGGTCGACAGTATGCCAATCTCATCACCTAAACAACAACAACAACAACAACAACAAACACTTAAAACAATTTGCAATAGAATTTGGAAAAGATATAATTACCAGGAGCGTCGCCTACCAAAGTCCTATCACTGTCACTCAAGCTACTATCCTCGCTGTTACTCTGATCACTGAACATCTCGCATCCAGGAATCGCCGGTTGCGGAGACACCCGAAGACTAGACGAGTTACTGGCACGGTCACCCGATCCAGTCTCGATCTTCTCTAAATTTTGGTTTGAATCCAACTGAGGTATGGAAAGTTGCTCTAGCGTGTCTTGAATGACAACAAACGCAAACACATGAACAAAATGGATGATTTCAAGAGAAAAATAATCTTACTTATATCTACATCCGGTAACGAGACATCGAAACTGATAATGTACTTAAATCTTTCAATGATCTTTGCCAGTTTCGAATTGCCAAAGGTAAGATCACCTTCCTCCATGTCGATGAAGCGAGACACGTAAAGTTTGTAGCCGTGGCATATCGAGTCGAATTGAAAAACGAAGTTGTCGTCGTCGAGGTATTGCAAGGTGGAGTTGAAGCTCTTCTCCAGGACCATGTGAAGAGTCTCCAGCTCATAATCGGTACAAATACGTTTCCTCAGCTCACCGACTGTCGTTCCTGGATTAATCCAAATATTCTTAGGATTGTCCACTTCATCTGACAGCAGATGAACCATGAACAGCTTTACGTTCACTCCGCCCACTTTGTAATCCTCGAAAACGGCATCCGGTTTTTTGATCTGCAGATAGAACTCGGTGCATTTCTTACCAATCTCTCCGAGATATATGTCGTTGTTTGTAAAACTGTATTCAATGCTTTCCATAGTATTGTTGTAAGCGACTAGACGACAGTCGGGAATATTCACGATACCCTTCAGTTTAAACAACCAGTAAACGTCAGAGACGGTTTCCTCCAGTGTAGTCTCGACGGTTACAAACAAACGATCACTCATGAAAGCATTGCTAACCGGATGATGCGCGTATACCTTTATTTTGAAGGTTTCATTCTCCTTTTCTTTTTTGATACGATCAGCCTCCTCCTTGTCGCGCATATCCTGCAAAAGCTTCTTGATATGCGAAGGGAAGTCGTCCATAGTCAGAGCGGCGCAATTCCTATCCTTGTCAATCTGACGGTACATAAGCATGTAAGCATTCGTGCTAGAAGAGTAAGCTCCTGAATAGTAACTACGCTGTGGACCACCGCCGTACGTTTTCCTGATATCGTCCTCGGTCAACTGCAAATCGTTTGCAAACAAGATTAGAAAATCGTAATTCTCGTTACGATAAATACTCACTCTGTTGACACTCTGATCGTTGAAACAGAACCACTGATTCTTGGCGAAATCCTTGATGTAGGCATAGTAATGGCCTCCAGATGCACTTCCCGAGTGTATCATTATGCTAAATAATTCGTAATTGTAAGGCCCTGTCGGTTCTTGCAGTCTGTTTTTCTCGTTTTCGTGGAGATTGTTACCTGAACTAACATCAATACCTGACAGAAGACAGCACATAAATACAGAAAGACGTACAGGACACGATCACTCACCTTCGTCGTCCTCTTGGCTACTTTCATACGGCGAACGCACCGTCGAGGACACGTCCGTACCCTGGCAGCTCTCGTCGTCCAAAGCCGAACCCGAATCGGTGGTGCTGCAATCGTCGCACTTCACCACAACCTCTTCCGCATTCTCGTCTGACATCGCATTTGCTCCAGTGATAAAAGAATTTAAATTTAAAACTTCAGGAAAGACGACTCTGTAAAACACACATCATAAATACATATAAAACATATCAAGTTTCAGTCACGTACTTGTCGTTCAGTTTGATTCTGTTCATTAAAGAATAATCAAAGTCGAATCGCTTCAAATGCAATGTAAGCAGATAGGGGAATTTAGTAAACTTCAAACCCTTGTGCGCATCGCACTTTTTATTGCACTTCTCACAATGGTACTGGTTGTTTCCATCCAACGTTTCCGGCTGTACGAATGCCCTCAGAGCCTCCTCGACGCTATTGTAAGCGACGGTGCTACCGAAAGGCCGAACCGGTAACGGAATATCTTGGAAGGTATCCTCGCGAGACTTCTCCGTGCTGCACTCTAAGCATTTCACGTAATCCAACATCTTTCCTTCGTACAGATCGTTGATAAGATTCGCCTGCTTCGTGTCCTTGAATTTCTGCTCAAGCGCATCGAACATGACGCGACACAGCTCCTGTATGTCGTGCTGCTCCCACGCCTGCTGCATATTCCAACCGAAGCTGTGGGTCAGATCGGTCGTCTCGACAGCAGATTTCGACGATGTCTGCAGCTTTAGGAACAACCGTTGCAATTGGAAGGGTATAGAGTTGTCCGGATTGGAGCCGTCGAATTCCCAGTTGTACAGCGCGTTGCGGAATTCCGGAGTCATGTAGAGCGCTTGCAGAAGGCTGTTCAGATAGCATGTCATAGCCTGGTTTACGAGGCCAACGTAGTTGCACGGCTCGTGTATAGGTCGGTTATCCTTGGAGCTGTGACCCGCGGACTGCGTATAATATTCGATGGCCGGAAGAGCTGCAGCGTCCACCGCATCCATTGACGGCGCCGTAACATCCATAGACGTCGGAGAGGCAGAAGCTCCGAGTAAAAGATCATCTTCATACATTACTCCACCCTGTTGTTCCTGCTGCTGTTTCTCTTGTTGTTGTTGCTGTTGTTGCACGTTGGTGCTCACACATTTAACTCGCAACTGATTAATTATAATCGTAGTCGAGCTATCCTCGATAAACACAACACCAGCTTCGCGCAGAGTTCTGTCTTTGAACTGATTTAATATCAACTAAAAAATATAGAAGGGATTATATTAAAAATTAACTTTCTTATATAATGAATGCAAATTTCTGATGGGGAATCTGTACTAACCGGCGTTCCAATCCTGTTGTTCTGCAGCATAAGCTCAATGGTGTTAGGATCATAACTAAACTCCAACGCTACTTCGGTGTACACCTCTTCGACGGTTTTGTTCGGATGCAACTGAATTATACATTTCCTCTTGTCCGACTGCCCGAAGGTGTCCCTCACGGTGGCTTGAATACATTCCCCATTTACGAGGCGAACCATTTCCTTCAACACACAGATCAGATCCAATTAGATTAATTAAGTAGAAGAAAGAAAGAAAAGAAAAAACTACGCAGATTTACAAACAGATTATAAGTAAGTTACATAAAACGTAAACTCTTTTTCTTTTTTTTTTTATTCGTAATAAATAAAATTGAACGCACTTTCTTATATACATTGAAACAGCAAATTGTATTTAGCGAGCAACGAGACATCTAGCAGCAACTATAGTTTAGTATAATTAATTTAGAAAACAACAACTATTTCAAGCTATCATCGTGAAATCTTATCTCCTCCGGTCTTATCTGAGTGTGAAATTGGAATTGTTACATTTATCTCGGAGATTTCCGAATGTAATCCTCTAGTCCGTGATATCAATAAGTTGGATAACGACTTACCGGTATACACATTATCGTCAATTTTAAATTAAAACACAAAATTACAAATAAACACAAGAGACAGCACACAAGCAAATATGGACTGAATGAGTGAAATGGCAGGAATTGATAGCAGACAAAAAGTAAAATGAAAAAGACCAGGTAAAAGAAAATACATAATTTAAATGTTATTTAAAAAAAGAAGAAGTTAAGAGAAAAAAAAATATATTCAAAAAGTTTTAACAAAGCAATAAACTGTGGAGCAAACCTTTGTGCGCGAACAACAACTACACACACTCACTAACAGCAGATTAGAATATTCCAAGCAGAATTTAGTTTGTATCAAGTTTATAAATAAATCAACACTACGTTTAAAAATAGTGTGTTGTGATTGTAAACTCTGTTACACTCTTCTCCTTCCCCACGAGTATTTACATAAAAAACAAAAATGCTAATACACAAATACTGTGCACATGTTGACATTTGCTGTGCGTTTAAAAATAAATGGGGGGAAAAAAAAAGGAAAATTCTCGTTCCATTATGTCTTAACCTTGTTCTGGCAACACTCCAGATCCTATAGGTATATATCTGGTCAATGTATCAAGATGCATGGACTATCTCAAGCTAACTAGGATATATGAAATGAATGTAATCTGGCAGCCAGCCAAAAGGTATCTATAATTAGCACAGGGAATTGAGTTCAAATCATTTAATAAACTGATTAATACAGCAAGTGCACTACCCCCATGCACGATACACAGAAGCAAAAGCTCAACGTACTCACTGTATTGTTTTTTTTTTAACGAAGCAAATTTGGTAAATGCTCAAATCACTTCAAAAACAACACCTCTCTCTCTCCTGTTAAAATCTCATCGAGTCTGCACACCTAAAACAGAAATAAAATTCAAAAATCAAAGAAATGATCACAACTACATTTCCATTATCCCATTGACTATTATATACACCACACCATACGCTGTTCCCAAATTTAGCAAAAGAGGTAGAGAATCGACAAGGCAATGGATGGACCTATAATATTTTAATTTTTTTTTTTGCTAATGTTATATATCCATACCAAAATGTTTACGTCACTGCGGAATTTAATTGGAACAGAAGGGGAGAACGCCCTTTCGAGAGTTTTTTTTTTCTTAGGGAATTGAATTAAAGTGTCTTCGTGTTTCCGAATTAGGTGCGTGAATGATTTTCAAAAAGTGTAATTATTATCGAATGCGTGAAAAACTCACCGGGGAAAATTATGACATGTGCCAAAACTTTACGGACGCCATTTTCTGCGCTCGTTGCCAAACTCACCGTCCAATAGAGAAGGCAGCACTTTTCCCGCACTTTTTCGCCGAAATTACGCATTTTCTCAATCGCTCACTTATTGCGCCCGTGAATAGATTCATTCTACACCTTTTTTACAATTAGTTTTAGTAGTTGCGTCAGAGAATCAGAACATTCTTATTGGAAATTTGCAAAGTTTCCAATAAGCCCTATTGGTTGCATACATAAACACATATCTAAAAATAAACAGCAATCAATTTTGCAAATTAATTTGCTGCAGTAATAGTATAAAGATTATACAGGTTTAATACGAAAATAAGGAGATTTATTCACGTACAATTAGATATAATCAAAAGAAGAAACTAAATGTATTTAAATGATAGAAATTCTAGATGTGTTTCAAGCATGCAGATAGATACATACAGATTATTGCTTCTTTTAGATCTCGAGTACAAAAAAATGTTTTATTCGTTTATTCTTAAATCAGTGTTATTTTAAATCTTAGAATACCATACAAAATCGGGAGGATTAACACTTAGGAACCACCAATCTTCGCTTTCGTTATCTGTTTCTTTTTCAACAAAGTTCTTTCCTTCGCCTTTTCGTAAATCGGCATGAGCTTGCCGTCTTTAGCTAAGATCTTCAATATTTCCACAATCAACGGCAGATAATTATGTTTCCTCCGGATATTCTCAACCTTATACCGGCTTGTTTTATTGTTCTCCTCCTCGATCAAGCACCTCAGTCGCGAAATCTCCGTCTGCTGAGCGTCAGTCTCCATACCACTCTCGTTCACTTGCTTCTCGATNNNTTAAATTTTAAACATCGTTAGAGCAGTAACGTTTGTTCGCTTTTTACCTCATTATTCTTTTCTCAATTAAAGGTGTCACAATGTCCACCCAGTCAGCTTCCGGAGGGACAGGACCTAAATCCATTGGACCTGGCTTCAGACCATCCAATTCATATAATCTACCTTCAAAGGGAATATAACTGACAAAATGATAAACGTCATCACTCTTTGTGGGCACGGTAGGATCAAACTCGAATAGCTGTTGCCTTGCAAAGGAGTTATGAACGGATCGGATCAAAGTGGAATTACTTATTGTTAATCCCTTCATGTTAGCATCGAACCCGGTGCAGAACTCTTTGAGGTCAGCGAGGTTCTGACCCAAAGTCAAATCTGGATGTTTTGAATTCATGAGGACACTCAGTATCGCCTGTGTGGCGCACGCGTTTTCAATCACCTGCTTTGCAAAGAATATCTTATCCAGTCTGCTATCCTGCACGATGGACCCACTGAGTTCATCATCTTTGCCCCATTTGAACAAGAAGATCAGGCCATGGATCGGTCTGAAACATCTCGAGATGGTTACCAACCATTGCAAAAGCGATCCCAACGAAAGGCTTACTTTAATTTTTCGAACAGTTGCTTATCTAGAGTCCAGAGCTCTTCGACCTGAACACCTTTGACGCCTGCAAAGTGGAATCGTATGGGGGGGTTATGTTAGCAGATGACATGCACATATTTTTCGAAACTTTTATTAACTTGCCAAATTCACGGATCAACTCGGTGAAGACACCCGGGTCACTCTCGATTAAACACCAATTACCGGCATTTTCAGTCATCTTTAACAAGTAAATAAAATTTTTAACTCTGCGACTAAAGCTTCGATGCAAATTTACAATTATTCTGTTTCTGACAGGTAAAACACACCGGTAATATACACAAGCACAAGAGCGAAACAACAATGCAGCCAACACCTTAAAATTTAAACTTGTAGTTGGACTCAAGAAATAGGGCCAATAGGAATCTTTTTATTAATGAAAACATATTGTAATTAAGCCAATTTATGCTCCCACATGTGTACAATGATAATTGTTCAAATTTCTTTGCAGATATTTGCAAAATTCGATACCAGATACTCTCGTAAAAGTACACCAGTGCGTTCAAATAAAGTTTAGAATTAATAAGAAGGTTAGAGTGTTATAATTGTAATGTTGGTAGGAGGACAGTGGAAAATTTTTGGAGAGTGGGGAAAAAGCGAAATATCCCAAAGGTGTTAGTGCCTCTCGCCATTTTGTACAGATTTTAGTAATATTTTTTTGAATATCTAGTGAATTAAGTTTATTTGTTTTCGCGGGTTAATATGGAAAGTGAAGGCGACGATGAAACCAACAGCTCACAAAATATCGTTATCGGCGGTGATTACGATGAGTTTGAGCATATCGAGGAGAACGTGATCGAAGCAAGAAGTGTCCAAAACCCGAAAGCTCGTTATTACAAGCAAACGTACAGAGCTGCATGGGAGCATATGCCCGATTTTAAAGGTACTTCCAGCTGATCGTAATACATGCTAATTGTAATACATGTATGTGTGTTTTGCAGGTTGGCTCAGAGGGGTACAAGGTGAACCAACTCGTGCCTACTGTGTATACTGCCAGAAGACGTTGCATGCACATAGACTGAGTTTGCTGAAGCACACATGCACCATTCGCCATCAGAAGGCTGCCCAGCTTCATAACTCCCGTAAGGTAAACAAGATGATGTCATTTGTGTTGAAACATGAACCTAATTGTTTTGTTTTGTTTTTTGTTGTAAGCAGCTTAAAGCCCACAATATTATCACTGAGGAGATGTCCGCTTACACGATCACTGAAACTGAGAAGGGTGAAGAGTTTGAGGAGGAAATGGAGGAGAGTGAAGCCATGGTTCAGTATGTGTCAGAACAGATCACTGAAGAGAATGAAGAGCAGGAGACTGAGGAGCCAGAGGAAGAGGAGGAAATCATGGAGGCTGTAACATTGCCTGTTAAAGTCCAATATGTAAAGGTGATTGACTTTTTAGTTGCAACTGATAACATTTGAACCCAAATGATAAACGTTTTGTGCAGCGTTTATAATATACAGTCTTTGTTTATAATAGACATCGGACGTGAAGAATGCAATTGCTGCAAGTAACATGAATAAACCGCCAATATCGACGCATGTCTTGGATACCACAAAGGGATGTCCAGTGTCAGGTCTGCAAGTTAGCTTGTACAAGTTGATCGACGGTCGATGGACGTACATCAATGAAGGTACCACGAATCCCGATGGACGTTGCTGTAACTTCATTGAAAGCGGGAGCTTTAGCATAGGAAGGTACAAGTTGCATTTCGATGTCGATAGGTATTTCGAGTCGAGGGAGCAGACATCACTATATCCGTTCATAGAGGTACTATAAATAATCCATTTATTACCATTATATCATCAATTGTCTTTCAGATTGTTTTCGATTGCCGATCACCCGAAGAGTTGTACCATATACCGTTATTATTGAATCCGTACGGCTACACAACATATAGAGGGACTTAACGCACTTAGTGTTGTATAGGCTTCTGATACTAATTGATTTAATTAAATAACACACACATACATTTTGATAATAACCACCACATGGAAATAAATGGACAATATTCGCTATGCATATATATATATACTGGATGAAAAACAACCGAATAATAATATAATATTGAGTTTATTTTTAAGGCGTTGAATATTTTGTTAATTGTTACGATTCCAACTTTTTTTTGCTGTTTTCAATAAAACTTAATTGATACAACAATTGTGATATCTGTTCTAGATCTATGCCAGTATGTACTGAAGCAGTGTTTCCCAACCTTTTCACATGTAACTTCCCTAGATTGTAGCCCTCATTTAAGAAATTTACTTAGTTAATGAATACTAATTTATTTGCACCCCTAAACCTATAGAAATTTATTCCAATTTTTTTAAATAATTACGGGGCAATTGATTACTTTTATACGGTGATGAGATTCGACCTCATTCCTGTTTATCTTCGTGATTTTAATTATACAATCAGTTTAATCTTTCAAAAGTGATAAGAACGCATCTTTGGTACTACATAAATTGTATGCAA